AGAGGAGGGGACGAGACTATGCTTGAAGACACCCACGCGATCCTCTCGGATGAGGAAGGCGATTTTGATGAGGTTGCTTGCCCTTGCGAGATAGCGGCCCCCGCGCGCATGCCGCCCCTGAAGGCTCCCTTGGGTAGAAAAGGTGGGGGGTTGATCGGAAGTCAAACCTTTTCCTGGGATTATGCGTTGAACTTTTGACAATGTTATTGTAGCTAACAGAAGACTCTATGCGTCACCCCTTGAATGATGCGTATTCTCAGCCTTGGATTCGTCTTCGATTGGACACGTTCAGTTTCCGACGCCGGACCTATGAATTAGATCATTCCCAGCACTTTAGCGATCAATTGGATGAATATCTCTTTTTTTAGCGTTGAACTGGATGTTGGAGGATGAATCCGAGGTTGAGGGGGGATCCCGCGGTCTATTGCTTCCCAGGTTCTTCCCCCATTGGGGAGGGGAATGATATGTGATTGAGCGCTGCTCGCGGTGTGCAAACGAATGCCAATCTGCTCTTCTACTTTTATTATTAAAATCAAATGAGGGGTGGAATGACATACAGCCGACACGCAAGTGAGGACTAGGTAAATTGGTAAGTTTATTATTATTACATCTTAATACTCTTGTCATTTCGTAACATATACATATATTTTTGCACCTCTTTATTAGACTTTATTTAAGAAGCGATGGGATATGTTTCTCGAAAGTGGATATTACCCAATAAAATGAAGGGTTAGTAGTTTTTTTTTATTTTGAAGTCATTATGTAAGTAATCTGCAGTGTTTTTGAAGAGATATTGTTTTAAGTCAAGGAGTAACAGCCCAATGAAATAATTGAAACGTAGAGGTGAAAAGATAGGCTTAATTTCGCCATAATAAATCTGACCCTTTTTTAATTATTATTTTTATTTAAAATAAAACCCAACCAAATATTAATATTCATGCGTTCTTATGGGGGAATTTGTTTCCCTTTTTTTTAGTATGGCTTTCTAGGCCCGTAATTTGGCCACTTTTTCTTTTCAACTTATATAAGAAAAACTTTTTTTTAACTGGAACCATATAAATTCATAAAAAGAAAAATGAGATGAGTGAAGAGCCGAGTGTTGATAAGGTTAAAAAATGAGGTGGCAGTATAGAATCTGAGTAAATAAGGTACTTAAATGGTCGAAAAAATGACTGCTTTTTTTCCTAACATATTCAGTTTCTCTAATAAAAATTTTTATTTAGCCATCGTATTTTAATTTTTTTTTACGTTCATCGAATTATTGTTCTCATTACCTTTCATCATTTCACTCGATTCTTCACTCGATCATGTCTTTTGATTTAAATTAAGAATATATATCAATATATTGATACAACTATATAAATATATATATATATACCATAATGTGAGTATCATATTTTAAGTATCTACTTTTTTTGTGCATCTCTGTTTTGGAGAGTTTCATCCAAATCTAGAAATGAAAAAAATATAAATATTAGACAAGAGAGTGGTGTGGACATATTCAAATCACTGCACAATATAGTAAAAAGATTAGTACATTTTTTTCTTTATCTTTCCATTTTTTGTTCCTTACCCTTTTATGTATTTTTTACAATTAATTATGTAAAATCAGTCATGAATTTTTCTTAGTAGATGTGATTTTAGTAAACGTCCGTTCCATAAAAAATATTCAAAAAACGATCTTATACCTACATCTAAATTTACGAAGGAAAATTTGAAGGCTCATTTGTTATATTATGATTTAAATAGTATCTATTTTTTCCTCATTTAAATTCTGTTGTTTTGTTTCTTTAATCACTTTAAAGGGCAAATTTATCCTTTTTTCACTCCACCGATCGATTTACTGGCTTTTTACATTGACGTATGTATCATTTTTTATTTTGCTTTTGAATAAATCCAGTGATTCATTATTTTCTAATTTTTTTAAAAAGATTCGTTCTTTCAGTCCTTATCAAGAAAGATTAAAATATTGCTATTATTCTCACAGTTTTGTGAACGTTCGTTGAAGAGTAAACAGATGTGTATACAAAGGTAGTAAAATTGCAGATGACAGGTCATTTGCACCTTTTTCTAATAGTGATCCTCATGAAAAGAGATCAATTGAGAGGTTATCAATTTTGAGGAAAATTTAAAGAATACTTCTTTAGCCTCAGTATTGGTATCAGTCGAGACAATAAATTTGTGTAATATTGAGTGCTGTTGTATATGGGAGATAAACTTTTTTTTTTTGGATTCATTTTCCATCATAATATTTGTCCATGCCATTTGATTTGCACTTATTACAAACATGCAGTTTTGTTTTCTTGCTTTCCTTTTTTATAATTTAATGTAAACTTTCTATTAAGTTAATAATACTTTTGGTATGAATATTTTCCAAAAGCACGTTTATGATCCAAGTTATTAAAGGAGAATAAGTGGTGAAAGTATGACTGATGAAAACATTCTTTGGGTATCGGTCCATTTTTCTTGAGTTTTCACAACTGTATACATACAGGCGAATGTTTTCTCCTTTTGTTTTGATCAAAAGAGGTCTAAATAATTGAATCAAACTTTATTTATGCTTTGAACATTCTTTATGTTGTCGCTATGCACATTGATCTTGCATTGATTCGGGAAAGCCTCTCTGTTAGGATGAAGATTTAACTTATTATGAGGTAGTAAGTTCCTCAAATGCAAAAAATATTGGTAAAAGAACTCTAACAAGATGCGGAAAGTAGTTTTTAGGTACATTAAAAACGAAGATTTACGGATCAAAGGGGTAAAAAAAAGTAAGAAATATACAGGCTTGAAAGTATTTTGTCAATATAAATGTAGATTTATATTTGAAAAATATATTTTGGAAGGACTATTTTAGTGTGATACCTAAATAAACAGTACAAACAACACCCCAAAAAGGAATAAATGATAGTCTATCTCTATATTTTTTCTTCTTCTTCTATATGCAGTGTTTTATTTGTCTTGAAATCCAAATATTCCTTGATTGACTTTTTTCTCCAAACTAAATACGAAATAATGTACAGCCTCAAATTGTGATTTATCCTTTTAAGGATATTTTTATGGACCATATTCAAGTTACCTTCTTTACTACCTTTTTCCACTGATTTTTATTTTCCATTTCACCTATGTTATATCCTGTGTATGCTCTTTTTTTCACCCACAAACATCAATTTGCTAAATTGATGTTTATAGAGTCTATACTAGCATAATTATCCGAATCTACTTTCCATTTTAATGATTTTTAACCCTGCAAATCCAATCCCATTAAGAATTAACTGGACCAAACCCATCGCAGCGAGTGTACGATTTCACTTTCCCGTATTTATGTAACAAAAAAAAGCCATCACTTTGACTCATATATTCTCTTTATTTTCTTAGATCCTTTTTACACCACAAGTAACAAACCCAAGTTTAGAACATACCTCCCCTTCCCCCCTCCCCCCTCTCTCTATCAGCGTCATGGACCTGTCTTCATTGAAGGCGACCGCTGAAACAGCACCCAAGGTAGAGTCCCCCCTATCGGGGGAGGGGCCCCCCCCCGACGATTCCGACGGGAATCTTTCGACCGACCAGGTCGAGGTGGGCCCCGCCAAGGCGGAACCAAAGAGCATGATCCAAATCGACGAACCCGCCGAGGCAGCGCCT